TTCTCATGATCTATTGGGGGACAGATGCACAGAAGACATCTCCATCAACAAAACTTTTCTTTTTCATCATATAAAACAAACAGATTCCATGTTGCCATGGATTTGTACAGTAACAGATCAGGTACTAAGTACATCATGTACTACATTCTTGTTCTCACCACATTTTGATGCCATTGAGGTTTAGAATTTTCAAATTCTGCATTATTGTACCATAACGAAAAGAGATTGAGATTTCTATGCACCAACCACTTTCAGGCTGTTCAAACCATATCCTCCCTCAACATAACATCCAAGAAATTCAGGGTGAACAATCATTGCTGATGCTAAATATATGCTTTATGCATTTTGTCATCACTAGAGCAAGCTGTTCTACAGAGTAGCTCATTGAGTTGGTTGCAAAGCACTTTCAGATCAAGTGTTGTAAAAAAAAAAGAAAAAAAGTACAAGTAATCACAACTGAGGATGAGATTGAGAGTGTAACAGAAAGGCGTAACATAAAAACAAGCAAACTAGTTGTAGTGCCAGAAATGCAAGTGAAAAAGTCATGACTGGTTTTGGTTTTACATGTGGTTGGCTGAAAAAGTGACCCACAATTTCTTGACCAATCACAGATTGCAGTACAGCAAAGCCAACACAATCGCATATCACTTGTGAGACTCAACTCAAATTCCTCTACTATGATCTCTATTGAGAAGATGGTATACACTGTACAGTGTACCTTGTTTAGTGCCTCGTTGAGTGACATGTCATTTGATGTCATATTACAAATACCAAGAAGCCTTCCTCTGATTTGTGCCCAGTCTTTTGATGGATACCTTGTCTTTAGATCTTCAATGGAATGAAAAAAAAATCAATTACTGAATCAAATCCATAAAGGGGATCCATTGAAAAATCAATCCTAATCAATCCTATTAACATAATCATTTATTAATAAATTAAATTGAAATGCTCATAAAACAAATCCCTAATATACCCAGTACATGTTTGTTAACAAGACCCCAGTTTAAGAAACAGTAGAATGGGGTAATGAGTATTCTGCTTTCAAATAAAAGAGAATTTTTTCAAACTTTAACCAGACACTCTTGTAGTCTGACTATGTGCACTTTTGTGCATGCATTTGATAAATTCAGGCTGATCAATGGCACGTAATTTACATACATCTTAAAGTCAATTGAGAGTCTTGTACTTGTATGTTTCACACACAATCTACAGTAAATGGTGCTCACATGTAAAACATGGGAATCATACTTGACTGATGCACAAGCTGCAGTTCATATAAGAAATACTGTGGCATCTTGGCCTCATACTTTTCAGCACTGGTTGAAAAACAGTAAGAGAGTTGGCATTTTCAGGCAGGCACATGCACAGTACTTACCAGGAGGAATGTTGAGTCTCAACTTCTTTTTCTTCCCCCAACCAAGTTGGTGAACAGTGTCTGACAGGAAATAAACCCATACATCATTGGCTTCATCTTCCGATCCTTCTAGTCGTAATCTTAGCCTCAAACCATAGGAATCTACCACTGATGCAACCCAGTAACTGAGTGGATCATTCTTGTGCAGCACCTCTAACTTCAATCCTGGCTTCAGCTGATTTTCTTCATCTGGATTTGATCTCTGAAAACACACCCAGGCACATCTGTAAC